ACAGAAAGCCTGCAAAAGATACACAAAGCATTTCACAGAAGTCAATTGTAATTGGATTAAGGACTACAACTTTGCTCCAGGTACACTAGTGCTAATCCACAATTTGAAAGTGAGTAACAACTTAGGACAAAAGATGAAACTGTAATACTTTGGACTGTTTGTAGTAGTGTAAAGAACAAAAGGAAACACTTATGTTGTAGCAGAACTGGATGGAGCAGTGGCCAAGTTACATATTGTAGCATTTTGCTTAATTCTGTATTTTCTGTATTCACATTTAACAGTTCCTATCTTACATCTCATTAATGTGGCAGAACTAACACTAGAAGATGTAGAGCTGTACAGGACTAGTTGTAAGGATACAGATGATTTAGACAACTGTACTTTGGATGCTATGCTTGAAGTAGAACCAAGTGGAGAAGTTATGGACTCCCAATCTGAGAATGCACAATTTTTCAATATACTCTCCCAGTCTTGTACAGGAAACTAAAACATAGAGGTTGATTCCCTACCAACAACACTTAACAGTTGTGTAAATCTGTAAATACTGTGTCCAACTGTAGTTCCCTATGTTTTGTTATGTTTTATATTCACATACTTCTAATCTTCTGTTACATTCCTTCTCATTTACAATAAATTATAAAAAGCCTATACAACATTCTATAAGCATATAAACTTTTATACAAATTATGATTCTTTTCCACCTATTCCTATCCTATTCTACTAGTTCTATACATAAATCATAAAAATATCCATCCATCCATTCTATTCCTCTTAACTCTCTATTTTATCTATTTTCCTATCCATTCTATCTATTTCTGTTCTATTCTGTTTATTCCTTACATTTCTGGTTTTTTTTCATAAAAACAAAACTGGACTTTTATTTCTCTACTTTCTACCCTGTTCTATTTCCTACTCTAACTCTTCTACCCTACTATCTACAGAGGCTTCTGCTACTATGGTTAAGAAGTTGATACCCTGCCTCAGAGCTATGATCTTTGTATCAAACTCATTCTTTATTATTATTAGTTACAACTCTAGGTTGTTCAGCTCCTTAGTCATCTGTAAGTAGAGGTTGCAGACTGTTCTGGCTTTACTACACATGATTAGAGGGATGACAGAATACAGGTTCTGAGTTGTACTGTACAATTCTGTAGTTTGCCCCCTAGTCTTATACTGGATTCCCTTCAGGCTACATTTAGAGTGGCAGAATATACATACTATACACTAGTTTTCTATGTGAATGATCATTATTGACACAGTCAAAAATAAGATTGAAACAGACTTACTTAGATTACTGTAGTACAGTCAATCTATTACAGTCTAGCAAGTGGATCCTTAAGAACCCTTGTACCTCTCTACACACTTTACACACTCAGGTGTGTAGAAGACTATTCTCTCTACCTAATCTGGAGGGATATTCTTGTCCTCCTTACTTGAAGACTCTACTACAACCTTCCAGTTTTTTGTATATGTTTCCTTACTAGAGACTAGAATCTCTACCTTTATAATAGTGTACTTCTTACTCAGAAGTACTAGTACTAGCTCTAGACAACAAAATAGAGTCAGTATACTTAGAAAATCAACTACCCCTTATCTACATTACCTTTTTCCTTACTTTTGTCCTCTTTCTTCTTTTCTAGCTTTGTAACTACTTAAGGAACTAGGAGAAACATTATATTAGCTTAGTATAATTTGTTAACTATACTTGTACTTACTAACTATGACTTGTTTCTCCTTCCTATCCCTTCTTATATTAACCTTCTCTTTCTCTATAACTAGCTTTTTCTTTTCTGGTTTTGTAACTTCTTTAGGAATTAGACAAAGACAACATTAGTAGTGTATAATTTGTTAACTATACATTTAATTTGTACCTAACTTGTTCCCCTTTTCTACTACTACCTTCAACCTTTCTGTGTTTGTAACAGTATTAGAACCTGTGTAAACAGTTAGTTTATTATGTACAATTTGTTAACTATACTTGTACACATACTTTTAGACCCCTTCTTTTCCTTCCTATCCTTCTACTTTGTTACTAACTATACTAAGGCTGTAGCCTTCTCCTTCTCCTTCTCCTTCTCCTTCTCCTTCTCCTTCTCCTTCTCCTTCTCCTTCTCCTTCTCCTTCTCCTTCTCCTTCTCTCTCTTCTCCTTCTCCTTCTCCTTCTCCTTCTCCTTCTCCTTCTCCTTCTCCTTCTCCTTCTCCTTCTCCTTCTCCCTCTCCCTCTCCTTCTCCTTCTCCTTTCCCCTCTCCTTCTCCTTCTTCACCTTAGCCTGAGCCTCTTCCTTAACCTTAGCCTGTATTACTTTCTTAGCCTCTGTCTTTACTTTAGTCCTAGTAGTAGCTTTGTTCTCCTTTACTTTTGTAAGCTCCTCTACTGTTACCTTACAATCTATAAGATGTTCTGTGTTAGTAGACAGATCAGAAATTAGGAAATAAGAGACTTACTATCAGATTGACTCTCTACTAGTACAGACAAAACCTCCTTACCCTCTGAATCATTGTTATTGTGAGTGTTATTGTCTAAGCTCTCTTTGTCTTTAGACTCAGGATCTGTAGTTAATCTGTCAGTTTCCTCCTTTACAACCTTATCTTCTAGTTTGTTTTCTGTGTCAGAACCTATAGAGCACATTAGTATATGAGTCAGAGACAATACACTTTACAGAGGTACTTACTAAGCATATGTTTGACTAGCTCATCATTCATGTCTATTCCCTTACTAGCTACTATGTTGTTGTACACACAATTTCTGAGGAAAATCACAAAATCAGTATAAAAAGAGTAGAAAAGAGTGTAACACTTACTGTCAGATTTGCTAGGGAGTAGTAATAACATGGTAAGAGTGATAGAAGGAAGTAGGAAGAATAAGTAACAATGTTCACACACATACAGAACTTACATTCAGCCTGCCAATCATTAAATCAACTATGTGACTGTAGACAGTCACAAGCAGACATGCTGGGAGATAAAACAATCAGCATCATACTAAGAACTGTACATTACATACAGACAATCATAGCAATCAATTCTGAACACTCATGTGACTCATAGAAGCCTACTCTGAGAACACCTAACTATTCTACATTGTAAGCATTTACAAACAGAACTGTAAGAGTGTACAGTCTCAGAATTGGCTTACACACATTGTTTTCTCTACAGGATGTACAGATCATGTACTTATCATAGGCTCAGAACACAAGTTGTGTCACAGTGAGTGGTTCAGCAAACTATTACATTATTATTGCCTAGATCAAAGTACTGTGATCTTCCAATCAGATAGGACATTAGGGCAATCAAAGTGTTGATCTTAGGAGACTGCTGGAAATCTCAGAACTCTCTACACTTTGTCTATACTAATCAGATGATAACAGTATGAGAACCTTCTACTTCTTTCAATGTAAATCTTGCTTTTCCCTTTTGTATAACATTTCCTGTGACTAGAATGTAGACTACTTAAATTTTCCTCATACATTTTCACCCTATTTTCTTCTAACCTCTGGCAAAAGGTTCTCTTATTTGTTCTTGTATATTTTGTTATTTTTCTTTTGTTCAGTCATAACATTTCCCTGTTAGTACTATGCTTTTCCAGAACTCAGAAAACTATAAATACAGTTACTCATGTACTAGATACAGGGGGAATTCAGATAGTTCACCCATTGATTTAGCTCTTGTCTCTTGTCTCAAAGTCCTCTAGTATGAGGCATAGTCTTAGTCTTTATTGTTTTCTGTATCAGATTGTTTGTTGTGTACTTTGTAAAGTGTACTTTCTGTTATTCACATTACTCTTCCAAGGTTACAACTGTGCTGGAAGAACTTGCACCTGTTCAGAACCACTCTAGTCTCCTAAGACTTGTGGTTTAGCTCCCCCTCAAACTTAACAAATCACCTGTGATCTTCTCTTAGACACTACACAGGAGTTTCAATACTAAGATGCTAGCACCAGAATGTGAGTATTAGAATGAGTAGAGCCTGTGGTTCAGACACAGGAGTAGAGTAAGACAAGAGTAAGGTATATAGAGTAAGTCTAAGAGTACAGGACTACCTAGAGTAGATAAGATCAAGACTATAGGACCAGTCTAACCTTATACATATATATATACTAAACTACACAAGAGCACTCAGGGAATGATGAGCTACAAGGAATAAAGAATGAGAGGATAAAGGAGTAAAAGGTAGGAGCCCAAAGAATAAACAAAGAATGAAAGGGTGGACAAAGGCAATGAGTGACAAGGTAGAAAGGAGTAGCAATAGGGGTCACTGTGTAAATCAGTCTGTATATAGTCTATATACTGTGCACCCAAGGGACAGAAGTCCTGAGTTCTGTGATTGGAACTGAGAGTTCCAGGAAAGAAAGTGTTGGGTTGTAACATAATTGACCTACAAACAGGCAAGCAAGATGGTGCACATTGTACAATTTACACTTTGGTCTTTGACAGCCCTGGACAAAGTTGAGGTATGCTACAGTGAATGGTTAGTGTACCAAAAGGACTGAGAAGTATGATAGGGCAAGTTGTGGCAGAAATAAGTGGACATAACCACAAAGATGGTTGCCAGTGTGAAACCCATTGGGTGCATGAAGGTGTCATGACAAAGTTTGAGCCACACTGTTTCCACCTAAATGACATCGACGACGCTAGAAGTTGAGCTTATCTGCTTACGTTGGTATTCATGGGTAATGATGCTACACTGTGAGTGGGGTTCGGCACAAGAGTAGCAATAGCATCTGCTGCGTTATACTCAAGGTGTTATATATCGTTGCATTCAACGACAGGCTACATGACATGCGCCTTTGAACGACGTTGGGCCTTGGCCGTGTATTTAAAAAACCAAAAACCAAAATATGGAGATGACTTAGATAATTGATGCAGTGATCTCGCATCACTCGATCTTCATTCAAACTTTCCATTTCTAGCCCCTCACGCAGATCTCCATGCGGGAAAATTGGAATTTCCCAAGTTCCCGTGACGCGAGAGTTTTTCCTTCAGGCCAGTTGAATGGCGTCCGTTCGTTCCTCCGATTTAGATTTAGAGAGTGTGTCCGTGTGCACACACGGTTCATGAATGATGGAACAGTGCCAAGCTGTATGTCAGTTGACCTTCCACACCCGGACGGCCCGGCTCATGTCCTGAACTATATAAAGCCTTCCCGGCCAAATGTCCTGTCCTAGCCGTCGACGCGTAGCTCCCGTCCTCCGCTCCTCATTCTCGCTCTCGTCCGCGACGGCACAATGAAGGCCGTATCTAGGTTCAAAAATAGCCGGGTTTACTGTATGTGCACCTAGTATTCTGCTGGCTGGCGCAAATATGCTAATTAACATTTCTTCAGTCCTTGCATTTATTGCTGTGCGTATATTGTTTTTCAAGTAGTCTGTACGGCTTGATGGCTCACATTTGGTTAGTACTGGGGAATCGTTCTCTTTGGTTATGATACGTGCGTATATTCATTCCTCTTCTCGCGTCTGTCGGCGTCCATATTAATATTGTTGCACAGAGGTGTAGCAGGAGGCGTAGTCTCGCAAGATGCCTTCAAGCACCATTTCCTAATGGAGGACGACGGAACCATATCCTCAAGTAAAGTAACGAACGTATCAGGTAACGTCGTATCCGTCCTTCAAGCAGGAGCGTTCTTCGGCGCGCTTGGAAGTGCCCCTATTTCTTGTGAGTTTCATTAGACACATCAATCGTCAATATCGTTTTCGTTTCCTCGGAGTTATATCGGTTGGCCCTGTTTCGTTTCTTCTACGTGACTGGAACTTATCGCGCAATGTTCCGATACTGAATATGTATGTGTATAGCACGAATTGGGAGAAAACTCACCTTAATGGCGTTTTCGATCATCTTCTGTGTCGGAGCGGTGAGTTTGATTACTTTCATTCGCAGGACTCCAAAAATCTAATTTACTATACCCTTAGATCCTACAAACGATCGCCGGCGTCGACGGCCGCGGTCTAGGATACATCTACGGAGGTCGAGTCGTCGCAGGTATCGGAGTCGGTGCTATCTCAGCTGTCGCACCGGCATACGTATCCGAATGCTCGCCGAAAGACGTTCGTGGACGCATTACGGGACTTTTCCAGATTATGGTCGCTATTGGCGTGATGATAAGTTATTTCGTAAACTGTAAGTCCCTCCGCATCGTCTTATCCTCTGATCTCCTTGATTAATTGATGGATTAATTGATTGAATTTTCTGAAAAAACCTGAATTTAATTTTTTTTTCAATTTTTTTAATTTTAATGTTGCAGTTGGAATAAGCCAACACAACCCCACCGGCCCCAAAGTCTGGCAAATCCCCTTCGGTTTCCAACTCGTACCAGCAGGTATCATGTGTATCGGCTTACTCTTCGTTAAAGAGTCCCCTCGTTGGCTCGCCTCTCGTGGTCGTACACACGAAGCTCTCAGGAACCTCGCGTATCTCAGAAAAGAGCATATTGAAGCGGAGAGTGTGAGGCATGAGATGGCGGAAATTGAAGCTGCTATTGAGGAAGAAAGGGAGGCGAGGAGGGGACTTGGGTTGAAGGAAGCGTTCTTTGGGAAGGGGAATTTTGTGAGATTTGTGATTGCTTTCTTTATTTTCTTCCTTCAGCAATGGGCTGGGCAGAACTCTGTGAGTATCCGTTTGAAGGCATTGCGTTTTGTAACGACCAGCTGATTACGTTACGTTTGTTACAGGTCAACTACTACGCTCCACAAATCTTCACCGCCGTACGTCCACTCATACTTAGTTATTATTATTCCGCTCACCATTAACATTATTCTCCTTTCCTCTCAAAAACAAAATTAGATCGGTTACGAAGGTGCAACAAACTCCCTCCTCGCATCTGGCATCTACGGCATCGTAAAAGTAGTCGCAACAGCCCTCTTCGTCTTCTTCCTCGTCGAATCCCTCGGTCGAAAACTCTCTCTCGCAATCTCCGCCTTCGGAATGGGAACTCTCTTCTATATCATTGGCGCTATACTGAAAACTCACCCTCCACCAAGTTCTCCACCTGTTGGAGCTGCGCCGCCGACTGCGAGTAAAGCTATGGCTGCGATGCTGTATATTTATGTGGCGTTTTATAGTATGGGGTGGGGGCCTTTGCCTTGGGTACGTCAAAAGTTGGATTTCAATTTGTCTTTGTATTTTATTTATAGGAAAATTCTGACTTGACTTAACGGCGATGTGAAGGTATATTCATCAGATATCTTCCCAACGAGAACAAGACATTACGGTCTTGCAGTCGCTTCTGCGAGTCAATGGCTCTGGAACTTCGTCGTTAGTCGTATAACGCCCAATATGATTGCGAACCTGGGATGGAAGATCTTTATTATGTTTGGTATGTTGTAGTCTTCTCACAAGTTCATGAAATGACACTGACGATAGGAATTTTTTTTTAGCGACGGTTAATATTGGTGCTATGTTCACGTTCTCGCTGGCGATACCAGAAACGAAAGGAAGGAGTCTCGAAGAAATGGATATTATTTTTGGTTCCGTATCAAAGGCAGAACGTGATGCGAAGATCAAGGAGACTGAGCGAGGTGCGTTCCTTCTTTCTTCTGACATGGAATCAATGAACGTTGCTGACAAAATACGTTGATACGATACAGCCTTTGAGCACGAGCACGAAGCAGTGGACGCACATTCTGATTCGGATATCAAACATTAATATGTTTTTTACGTTTGGATTATATCGGTTTGGTGTTACGTTGTGACTCGCAATGTGCCGTGTATTTCCGTTCCTCACAGCATATGAGATGAGGTGCTGTGTGTTGTATGTCGTGTATAATAGTTATAATCAATAGCATTCATTTACTACTACTGATTTTTGAAAGTCCCTGACCCATCTTTTATACTCGCTCAATCACGAATGGTGAATGGTGATACGTCTTTGGTGTAAGCGTGTCTACAACTACATACGGACAAATAAATGCTCTGCAAAAGCAACGATAGCGCTGTATCAAACAAAATAATCCGGACCTTAAAGAGATATCTATGCATTGTGTGGGGGATGAGAACAGCATCATGCAAGTCATGAATATAAAACAGACTATATGTGAGAGACAGAGACAAGGAAAAGGAAATCTATCCAGTTGGTTAGGGTTTTTCGTCTGTTCAAAAAGAAATAGTAGTCGAGGGAGGATCGTATCGCTTCACATTAAAAGGTTAAGCTGCGTATCGACTTCGGGCCCGGATTTGTTCTCCGTACTTCCAGAATAACCACGGTCTAACGCGCAAACAAATAGTTCGGTTAGCATAAAGCCTCAAGACACCAAGAGAAAAACAGGGAATATTTCTTAGTAATTACGAAGGACATCCAATAACAATCGCCAGCACCGCAAGTATCGTATCCCCCTTCCCATAACCCAGCTTACTATACATAGCAGGCGCAAAAAGCGGGAACCCAAACCCAGCTAACGACCTCAGAAACGACACAGCAGCCAATGCAGACGCAGCATGTAACGTGAACGCATCAATAACATACGTCTGAATCGCTTGGAAGTTAACGACCATCCCTGCTCCAATAAAAGCTAAACCGATGTCGGGAACGAGCCAGAATACGTGTTTCTCGGCTGTCCAGCCCATTATGAAAAGACCAATGGGGAGGCAAAACGTTCCGAGGACCATTAATGCTACAGTGTAAGGCGACCGGATAACAATGAATTAATGAGTTTTAAAAGGCGGAGTAAAGGTTCTATGTATGCAGTAACGTACGAAGTCGAAATTCAGGTTTTCCAACCCCACCATTCCTCGCTTTGAGCGTTCTATAGATCGGATCCATAAGCCGTGCAGTGATCTGGCTCACACCCGTCATTCCAATCCCGAGTGCGATATAGTTGAGTCCCGCAATCCCGACAGTCTCGTTATAGGTAATTTGGTATATTCCAGGAACTTGGAGAACAAACCAGTGTCAACCTCAATCTTCAAATTGGTTCGAGATATGCTAGACGGTTTATTCACCTGTTGTTATAACGAGATAAATTAACCCATATACAAACGTCATGTACAGTCCCATGAGCTGGATGATCGGCTCTCGGACAAAGAGTGCGAAGGGACGGATGATAGCTTTTTTGAATACATGTTGCCAACTGCAACCGTATTTATCTTGTGAATGCATACATGAATGACTTTGACTCACGTTCGGTCTGAGCCCTGGAACGGCGTCATGATATTGCAAGCTGCTTCATCGCTTTTCTGGATTCCGAGTTTCTTGCGTAGCCTATTGGCTTTGCGTTCCAGGAGGATAGGTGCAAAGGCTGAGGGAGGACGTTGGCGTGATTTATTTAGAAAATTACAAGACAAGAACTGGAAAGTTTTCCACTCACTTTCTTTAAGGAAAAATAAGCCTAGAATCTGCACGACGCCATCTGCTATAGATGTACCCCAGAACTACACATAGTTAAGCAAAATTAGGAACGGGCAACAAATACCAGTCGAAATAAGCTTATGGACTTACCACCCATCGCCATGTCGATTTCTCCGCGATCCAAGAACCGCAAATAGGACCGATCACAGGGCCTAGAAGTGGTGCGAGTGAATACAAAGCAATGGCCTGACCACGCTCTTCTGCACGCCAACAATCTCCTAATACACCACCACCAATCTACTTGAATAATTAATAACAATACCATAATAAGAGTATTGTGTTTTTCGAAACGTACCGATAGAGGTGCACTTCCACCAAGGCCTGCAAGAAATCGAAAGACGACAAGCTCGGCGGTATTCTGAGCACCACCACATGCTGTGTTCCAAACTAGTCAAGGCCAGAGAAACACGTGAGACGTTTGACCAGAAGGAAATGGAGCCGAAAGTAGGTGCATACTTAGATACCAGATATTTGCTATTTGTAATACTCGTGATCGACCGTACATTTCTGAAAGTGGACCGAGGAAGAGGGGCCCAAAAGCTGTTCGAAGTAAGGTTCATATGCTCGTTAATATTGAGGTAACCCTGAAAAGCATTCGGTAATACACACCATACCCGAGGATAAACACCGAAGTGCTCATAGCGAGAACCGCTGTATTCGTTATCCCGAACTGTGAGGCAAGCTGGTCGGATGCCGGAGCGATCATCGCCGAAGAAACAGGAGAAATAAATGTAAATGCTATCGGATGTCTAAATCAATCACTTCGTCTCTAATAACGGCCCGGAATGTCAGCATACCTGATACAATAAGAGTTGCAATCCATTTCTTTTTATATGACCAACTACAAATTTAACCTTCAGCAAACACGGATGTAAATTAGTGATAATACAATTATTGTATACGCACTTTAACGGATTACATGGATCGTCTAGCCCATCCCAATCCACAATCATAATTTTCCCACTTTTCTCGCGCACACCAGCAAACCCTGCCTCCAGAGCTTTCAGGCTAACAACATGTTCACTCGCAGTCGTTTGTTGTGATGCTAATGAATTCCGTCGAGTTAAATCCGTACTCTGCTGGTCAGGGAGCTCGTTGTCTTCGCCGACTTGCGTTCTAGACTTTTCGCTTTCGTCATTCTTTTCCTTGAGAGGGACATCTCCTGGTCCACCCGCAGTTGGGGGTGTAACCGACGTGCCCGGCACCCTCTTGAGATTGCCCGACATTGGAATGGTAAGGGTAGGAGGACGAATGGGACCGATTGTGGGAGGCTGGCATGGGTGATAGTGAATATATATATAAGTGGGACGACGGCATGGGAGCTGGACAGAGTCTATGACGAAGCAGCATGGCTACCTCTCTGCCGATTGGTCGGAAACAAATAGTCACGGACACTCGGATGGAAATTTATTCTGCATGTGGCACCGAAAGACCGACGCAGAGGCTGCACAAGTATCTATTAAAAGCAACAGCCGATGACCAGCTCCGATCATTCCGCTGTCGCTGACTAACGATGTCTCGCGTCATGTCCATGCTAACAATTTATTGCTTGCATCATTACAGATCGGCATTTAGCATTATAATATCGTCAGCCAAATAACAGCGTACGAATCCTTGCGTTAATCAAGCCAAGACAGCAACGTGAACAGAAAAAGAAACGATGTGGAAGTGTGAGTGAACGTATGCAGGGTACATTAAACAGCGCGGCAGTTGACAACATTTAAAAGAAGGGAAAAGAGACAAACATTACCATTCGTAAAGGAGAAGAATCAAGATAGTGTGAGGTTGCAGGAAGTGAGCAAGAGAAAGAAGGAAAGAAAGAAAAAGTGCAAAACATCTTGACCGGGATGTCTATGAATTGTATGAATTTGTCCTGAAGTTAAGCGGGAAAAGTAAATCACAGAGCCACTTTGGATGTTGAAGCGGACGTAGACAATGTAAATGCGGAACCTTCGGTACGAACGAGCAGGCCTTTAACTTCAGCGAGGCAGTCATGCAGCCGTGAAGTCACGACACGTGCGTTCTCTAATAATGGCTTGATGTTTTCTGGTGTCATCGCAAGCTTTAAGTTTGGAGGAGGGTCACCTGGTGCCGAAGTGGTGGCATCGAACGAAGGAATGCCTCTTGCAAGTTTTGGAGCCGCGCGTACAGAAGAGAATGGCCTATCGCGATCTCGATCTTTTCCACCCCGAGAGCGAGGTCGCTGTGTCGATTCCGGCATTACACGTTCAGCACCCGGAATGCTCACATTATTTTCGTCGACGTTCGACAGGCGTGGAGAGCGTACGTTCGTCACTGACTGGTCGGGTGTCGCAACGCTTCCTTGAGAAGAACTGAATGGTAGACTGTAGTGCTTGAACATAAACGGTCCGGTTTGTGGGGGCATTGACAGTCGGTTTTGTTGCTTCTTCTTGCGGAGCTTCATTGTAGATCCACGGCCCGAGGCTTCATCAGCTATCGCAGCGACCTGCGCGTCAATATCCGACAGTGAATCCATTCTGTCCCAGTCCGAGTCCTCTATATCATCGTATACCGAGTCTTGGGAAGTATCCGGGTGATTGTCAACGATCGTTGGAGCAGCAACCGAACCGGAAATATCCATTATAGAATCCGACTTTTCACTATTATGAGCTGGGGAATCCGCAGAAGGCGAATTGTCGCTGACAGCACTCTTGTGTTTTTGCCCAATACGAAAGAGAGATGCAAGGCTTGGTCTTCGCGGTGATGACTTGTGCGTGAGTGGTACCTTTCCGCCAAAAGGCTCGTAGTCCGGCGTAGATGCATTAATTGAATCAACAAGCGCAGCGCTCGTCTCAGACTTCCGTCTAGGATTGGCTGGGTGCCTTGGTATACCAGAAACCGTGTTATAGCCGTATGGATGGTTTTCCATTCGTCGCGGATGGTTGTTCTTGAATGATGACTCAGTGCTGATTGTCGTTGACGAGTTCATGACATTTCCTTCTGGCTGATTCTGGAGAGCGCGAGCCGTGCTCCGCTTTAGGCTGCGCAACATGTCGCGTATCCCTACAAGTCGACTCGGCCGTTTCTTTTTCGCTGGTGAGCTTGGCCTGGGACTCGTTACCGCTGATTCGTCAGTTGGGAGGGTCAACGAGCTGTCCATAGCCTCGTCTGTTGTGGCCCATTGTGGAACGTCAGGAATGTCGAGCTGAGCTCCGTCTTTCACAGATTCTGCATTGTTCAGCATCTCCCTCAGAAGGTATAACTGTCGATATCCAGAATCATGCTTTCCTGAAGTTGCACGCCATGACGCAAGTACGGGTGAGCTTCCACCTGCTGGGCTCTTGGGACTGTGGCCGTTAGTTAATGAGAGGTCGGGTTTGCCTTCGTCACCCGCAAGCGTTACTGCTCGCTCCCGATTTTTACTTCTGCCGGTCACAGTGTCATTTTCGGTCTGCGTAATGGTAGTTACAGGTTTCGTCGAAGGCTCAGCCACATTTCCCGTTCCGAGCTCGATGAGAAGGTCTGCACATTCCCAAGCTATGCTATACTTTGTATCAATGGCCCGGAAACCTCGTGCAAGGCCTTTGTAATCAATGCTTGGTGGGGGTGGAGGATTTGTATTCGATCTCGCTCGAGAATTAGACCGTGACAGTCCGAATAGGCTTCCTGTTGGTGACGCGGCTCGAGACGGAGGACGAGGCGCGTCAAGGATACTTTGGATCTGCGAGGCAATTAGAAGATAACTCGACCGAAGCTCTTGCATTTCTAAACCACAACATTAACGTATAGGCATTATGATAAAAAATGTGATAAGGACTTACGCTCAACACGCCCTGCAAATTCCCGCACACGACCTAAGTCCCTCTTTAAGCCATCCTGAGCTCGACTTATCCGGCTTGGTATCTTCAAATCACCTAGGGAATTCCGCCGTAGCGCGTTACTGCTTCCATTCGCACTACCATTCGGTGACGTTCCAGGACCGATTGGCAGAGGTGAAGCCCGCCCAAGAGACGCAATTTGGGACGTTGAGCTTAGGCGCGACGTAGGGGCATTTTGACCTGATGAGGATGATGTTGCGAAGGATGATGACTTGGAATGTGTGAGAGCTGGAAGATCCCCGGAGCGACGAGCAGGAGCGGAAGAAAGCCAGTCGCGGGGTGGACTAGACGTTGGCGACGCAAGATCGACTTGTACAGACCCAGTAGTAGTTGTTTGTAAATTCGAACAAGTCTCTCCAAACTGAACTGGTGACGACGTTGATACCTTGGCAATTGATGAAGAAGGCTCAAGCGAACTCGGGGGCAGGGGAGGTACCACTGACACAGAGCTCTGTGAATGAGACTGTCCGCTCGGTGACTGATCCTGGCGTCGTTGTTGTTGTTGAGCATGTGCACTGGCAAGACTAATGCGGCGGAGACTCCCCATAAACCCCCGATGCCCTCCCTTCTCGTCCGAACCCTTATCAGAATGTGCAAGATCTTCACTGCTGGCAGCTGTCTCAGTGGATCCGGACGCGCTTACACTCCTTCCACAAGCACTTAGTCCTGGTGCAATGACAGATTGCGAACGAGTTTCATGTACAGCTGAGCCAGAGACATGACGCGGAAAAACAGCTCGTGATTTGCCATGTGAAGCTAAACCTCGCTGCATACTAGGAATTCGCGGTCTTAATCGAGTCGGCGTGTCTCCACTGAGCGGTGTTAATACCTGATGAGAGCCGGGGGCACGTGCCGATACTTGAGATGAATCTCCATCAGAAGAGTCAACCGCACGATCATGAGATGATGCAGATACAGAACGTTTTGAGGCAAGGAGCTTTTGGCCAAACGCGCGGATTCGGGCACGTCGTGGCGACCCAGCGATCCCTACCTCGGATTCTCCAGATTGACTGCTTTGTGTTGTCATCGGTACTGCTGCAGGAATTGCCACTCGTAGCTTCTCTTGTTCCCTCTCTTTAGATTTTGACCTATTTACGCTTTGTACCTCGATTGCGAGGCTTGGGCGGCCGGACGTCGTCGTGTCTGTTTCCATCCCACCAGAAGAGCCGCGAAAAAAACGGTTTCGACTTGGCGTTTGCGGATGGCCAATATTTGTTGGGTTTCTATTCGGTATTGTGGGCGGTGGAGGCATTGTCGACGGTGGAGGCGGCTGAATACCAGCATGTGAGCGTGGACGAGGTGTTCGGTTGTGGTCTAATCGCTCGGCTTCCGGATCAAAGATACCTGTCGAGAAACTACTTGGCGGAACCCTGCTCGTTGGAGAGCTTCCTGCAGCATTGGCTGTATTCTCTAGCGGATTGAGTTCTACACTTGCACTTGCACTTGTACGCTTACGTCCCCATCGCCGCAAGCTACCTATACGAGCAAGCAATGGACTCTTGCTCGCAGATATTGGTGACAACGGTACAGCTGGAGAGGCGACCTGGCCAGAAGTCGACGGAGTCGTAGGTGACAAAATGAGTCCTGAGTCGGTAGGTGGTGGAGTTGACGGACGCGGGTCTGGAGTCGACGATCGGAGGAAAGCCGGTTCGCCTGTGACCTTGTCGTCGAGCTCAAGAATGCTTGCATCGAGATGCGGAGGTCTGCTTTTCTTTCGCAGGCGTCGCCTTTCCCTAGGAGCTTCAGAACTTGGAAAACGGCTGACGTCAACGAACTTGCGAGGCGACGAAGGCGAAGACTCGGCCGAATGCGTTCGCCTCAATGAAAGTGCCAAATGAGCAGTGGAGCCATATGTTGAATCGCGATCTCGATGGCCGCCTGAAGTCGTGGTGGCAGGAATAGAAAAGACGGAATGGCTCGGTGAAGAGCGAGGAAAAGGTGAGGGAGGTGACGCATATGAGCCAGAAGCATCGCCAGAAGGAATAGTAGGGAGGAATGTCGGCAGTGGGGGTAAAGGAGGTAAAGGAGGAGGATTGTCTACTAGGGAACCCAACGGTTTTCTTCGCGAACGCGACGTTACGGTCTTGTCCTCTTCGTCGTTACGATCAAAACCCATTTCTCGATCAAATTCGGCCATCTCATCGTCCGATGAATCCCATACTTCGTCACGTTCTCGTTCCCGACGAGACCGCTTCGAGCGTGTGCTCGGGCCAGCACGAGGACTACTAGTGCCAATTCCCATCACAAAATCCTCGTCCCAATTTTCGTCTTCAAGTTCTTCTCGGGCCTTTGAACGTTGTGTGAAGCGGGACTGAGATGCTGCTAGATTAGACGCGGCTGGTCTCGCAGGAGAGTCCGTCGAGTCAAGAAAATCATCATCCCAGTTTTCGCGTTCCTCTTGCCTGTTCTTGGGGCCGAGGACGGCTTGGGTACGAGGAGAAGTGGGCGACTCTGACCATGCTCGGAGCCCTTCGGCAACAGTACGTTGAGGCGTACGAGGAGAAACTGATTTCGGCCGCGTTAGTGAGCTTTTCTCCATCAACAACCAGCTGTAGTGGCATTCATACCTTTCCCCGCGCGCTGGGTGCGTGACGTTGGCTTCTTTTCATGTTTCGGTGACCCATCTCCCGTAGATACCTTCCGAGCATTTCCATCGGGCGGGCTGAACACGAAATCATCATCCCATGCTTCCGAGGGGCCTGTGAGTGTACCAACTGGTTAGCATCAGGAGAAACGCCAGCAGGACAGTGAAGGGTCACTGAGAAAGGTATAGCTACGCACTCGATGGGATTTTGTGCTGTGGGTCGACTGGCGTCATTGGAAAAGGGGGTAGATCATCCGCATTTATCATGTAATTATCTCCTCTCTGAGCGTTTCATCGATGAACGTGAAGATCGTTGTGCCCCGTTGCCTGTCGCAGCCACCAAACAAGACCGAAGATTCAAGAGAGCGCACAGACAGCTAACTACAACGCGCCTCTTCGACTCGTTGACGTGAGTCCACCACGTGCTTTAGATTAGTCATACAATAACTTAATCAAACTTTGTTGTTTGTTGAAGTTATTTATATGTAAGTTATAAGTAAAGCATCTTATTAGAGTTCTAGCAATTCTTTGCTGGGTTTTTAGCAGTACTAGGGGACGCCTGAGAAACCCGCAACTGTACATATACCAAATAATAAAAGTATGAATAAGCTTGCAAGAGTTGGTGGTATGCCTGTATAATTTTCAAGAAGTCATGAAAGAAGAGAAAGGAGGGTCAGTACAAGCTCACAGCAGCAAAGCTTGAGTTGAGAATTCCATTCGATAAAGTTCTTAGTGTTCAGCATGCAGCTGGTGGAGCCTACAATGCTCCACACCACTTACAATGCCGACTGTACAAGAAAGACACGGCAAAAAAAGGAAGCGAGTGCACAAGCAGTGAAGGAGCGAACATTGTCGCGTAATTTTCATGAGCCAAGGAAGTCGGGATGAGCTGCTGAACGGACGGCCGTCACTAACAAGGGTCATATTGGAGAAATTAAGGGAAACGGTAAGACCGCGCTAGATGAGCTCATCAGATACAACCTCGACGAGGCACTGGAGGTCCACTGGAGAAAGGACGACGTGAGTTATATGAGCACACTAATCATAGTCTCGCTCGGGCGGTGGCGGCGGAGTGGTCGAGACGCTCGTTCTCCTGACCTTTGACGACATCCTACCCACATGACTAGTATCGACACGGGCCCTTTTCAGCGCCCCTGTTTTGTCACAGCAGCCCTGCCTGTTTACAGCTTGAAGAAGCCGTCCAGATTCCCAAAAGTCTGGTCCTTCATCCACTGCTTCGTGCAGTAACGGCCGGTGTCTCGGATCAGTGTCCATAAGTAAATGAGCGAGTCGTATAATGTCGCTATCATTTTGACGAGTCTCCTCAGTGATGAACTTGAGGACTTTGCCGCACGACCATAAATCTGCTCTGATGGGGCTGAAAGCACCGGGTGCCTCATCATTGTCGAGGCCAATCTCCGGAGCACTCCAACCACGAGTCCCACGGGATATCTTCACCATCTCGTCCACATCCTTGCACCGCACCGCAATATCAAAATCAATGATGTAAAGACGCTTAAAATTGACAACAAGATTGCCAGGCTTGATGTCGAGGTGTGCGATCTTCTGCCGATGGAGGAAGGCAACACCTTCAATCAGCTCACGGCTCAGTTGTACAAATTTGACGCCATCCCGCTCTTCAGACAAACGGAATGTAATAGATTCGCACAGAGGGGTTGCATGAGGGAGAATTGCCATTGGTCCAAAACTTGAAGAAACGGTGTCCAGAAGTTGTATGACATGGTTATGCAAAGAAATTTGCCTCGATAGCTCCTGAAGGAGAGAGAGCTCAGCAGAGTCCTTGCGAACGAGTTTTGCAACAACTCGATCCCCGTTTGGGCTAGTCGCTTCTACTATGTGAGCCGGCAACTGTACCTGTCTATTAGTATAAGACCATGTTGAATTTGTTCGACACACCTCAGTAATCGGCTCAAAGAACTTGGGGTATTCATAAATCTTGAAATCTGATTTCTGGAGCGCAACAACCATTGCAGCGCGTCTGGGCTCGCCAGAGCCTTGACCCGTACTACGGTCTGTATCATCTTGATCCGTACTTGATCCACTTGAACTATTCTTCTGTTCTGTCGTTTTCGTGTGGAGACTCGTGCGAACCCCTTTCCTGACAGCATGATGCAAAGTCATGATATACGGTCTTTTGTCCCCAAGAGTGTCTGCCTCATTGACGTATAATACATAATTGTAAAACTCATGAAGGAATTTCATCAATTCACTGACATGGATCATGTCGAAATATCTTTTGTGAAAACAAATCTGACAGACAGGTAGTGAGACTGAGCTGACACAATGAACGCTCCTAGACATACCTTGCCTTTATTACTGTAGAAGAAGTAGCGATATATGTGCTGGTCCGTGGTAAAAAATGCTCCCATGAGGAAGAAATTCTCATCGTTGCAGCCATTGATGCGTTGTCGGAATGCAAGTGCAAGGCGTAGAGTACATGCCATCTGGACAAGCAGCTGTTGTTTGCCACCCCGCTTGCCGGCCGAGTCAAACTTAGCCAGAAAACGGGGGAAATCGTTTTTAAAGAAGGCAATGTCATGTTGGGGTTGATACTTGCGCCACCTGTCACTCTTGCAATTATTGACTTCTTTGGCAATAAAGTAGAACGGGATCTGCTTCCGACTACGAAAAATGAGATACATACAACAAAACGGCAAAATACTCACAGTGAGTGTTGTTCACCTTCCACCTGCGTTTTCCAATATTCCCTGAAGTGCATGAGCACAGTAAAGTGCACCTGCTCCTCTGTGAACGAGCCTCCATGCAATCCTAGATGCCATTGCCAACAATCTGCCCAGACAAGGACCTGAATATAATGATTGACTTCAAGATGCCACTGAGTATACGGTGCTGCATCAGATTTGTTGCTCAAGAGGTAAGGGACAATCTCAGCATAGTGGTCTTCAGGCATGCTTGCTTTAAGCATACTCTGGAGGCCCTGCACAACCTACCAAGATAATTAGTAACTAGGGAGATAAATGCCTTATGACAGGACACAACAAATTCTGCACGGACCCTACTATCAATGTCTGCCACCCGTCTCGGCCTTTGAACTACATCCCTGATAAACTGCGGTAACAACGTTTCGTCGGAATAGCCATTTAGTATATTCACAGAGTACCAATTCAGCCTCTTTCCAATACGACGGATTATAAACGTGACTTCTTCGCGAAACGGGATCGACGCGCCAGATTGACTGAGAGCAATATAATCTGACCCTGCCAAAACTAGGGAGAAGTCGGCTGGATATAGTATCGGGTAGAGAACAGAATACATACTGGATCTAGTCACGACAACAACGTCTATCATTTCTTCATCCTCTGGAGTAGGTCCGTCAGGGAAATAGTCGTGCAGACGCATTGCAGGCTCCATAAGCTTATCATCTTCCCCATCACCCGGCGTGCGTTGGCGAAGCCACTCCAATGCACTTTCATAACATGACTGGCGTGGGAGCATCTTCAGGGTACCACACTAAAGAACACCATTTATCAGCACAATGGCAGACTAGAAGATGGATGGGAAAGCACTTTGAAGAGGATCGGGTTTTCATTCCGTAGGTCATCTTCGAAAGCCTGCTTTCTTCGAATCGCCTCTCTCAAGGTTTCCACGTCTGCGTTCTCCGGAACGTTGATGGGATATGGCAAGGAATCCTTACTGCCTGGCACGTAGACAACATAGCGATGATGGTTATCACCTGCTGTAGACGACATGGTGGATGAGAAAGCAATGCGTTCAAGGTCCTGGTGTTGCATGTCTCAGAACAATGATATTTACATAATCTGAATTAGTATCATTCACTGGCCTTGAGATAGCACATTTAAATTTGTGTTTTATTCCATTATAACACTTTTTTTTCCTGAAACAAAAAATACTTGCTTATAGATACTACTGTTAAGCATATTAATACAAAGTTTTATAAAATTTGAATTGGATTTGTGTGCGTATCCCTGAAACACCTTTTTTCCCACGGTGTGCAAATAAGTATTTGCTCAGTTTAATTTATATAATTAGTATCGTACGAATCGGATAGGTAAACCGTCTAGCAGACGTCTCCGTCCGACTTGACCGACGGATAATGCTAATAGTCAGATGCTTCATTCGAATGGACATGGTACGTCTGATGGGGCGATGCTTACAGCTAGGGGAACAACACAGGGTGTTTTCCATGTGGTGGTGGTGGACAGGGTGGGACGTCCCTGCAACACGGTGGTTCGCAGCACACTCACTTTAGGTCCAGGTCCACTCACTAACGGGGCAGGAGTACACGAACTCATACCACACCAAGCCTCATCTTTATCGATAACCAGAACTCTGATGGACACACCGATCTACGAAGGTGAGGCGACATGCGATTGGTACGGGTCCTCTCGAGCTGGGCAACTCGGAACGGCACGCTGTTCGCTTTCAAACATAGGTGAGCTTGTGCAGATATGGGTGAAGCAGGGTCTGTGTGTAAAAGGAGGGTATGATGGTGTAATGTGGGACGAAGAAATGCTAGCTATGATGCATGCAATTAAGAATCCTTCATTTTGGGAGAATATTGTTGCTGCATGGTACGTTTCTCCCCTCATTCATTCAAAACTAAACGAATAAAAAGAATAAGACTGATATTCTTCTTTTGTCGTTGTAGGTCGTAAATTACTCATTTTCTGACGAATTTTCGAAAAACGGAAAAGTGCTCTCACGACGTTCTACTGCAATATTGTAAGATATAATTGGCCGGCTTATTGATCAGTATTTACTATACCGCTCTCAATTCAACCTTAATTAATTTCTGAGGCTACCTGAGCAGCTCAGGTAGCCTCAGAAGACCGTGGGTACATACCGCGCGAACATGCGTGTTCTGGAACTTGGAAGACGACCGAGTAGAGCCGTGGAGAAGCACTCCTATTGTTGCTGCTCTCGGCCCTCGGGACATGCACAACGTACTCAGGCTGATGCTTCACGCGATTCTGCTGAGTGTTTCAGCGAGAACGGCTCCGTGATAAATTGTATAAAATCTAGAGGCCAAGTCCTGATTGAACATCCAGAACAAGTCGCTCTCGTATCTCACCATCAGAGAAAAACATGTCTATCTTCAGCTCTTCAACGCTGGGAATACCCAATACATCTGAACTTAGCTCATTTAACATACAGCATAACGCAGGATATCTTGCAAGCTGTGCTTTCGTCCTAGGCTTCTCTGTTCTTCAATTTGTCCAAGCCCGTAAACGTGATGTACGTAGCTCCGATTGATGGCTTTCCAAGTGCCTTTTATCAAATTGCTCTGTAAAGGTTGCTATTCCGGCTGTTTGTCCTGCAGGACTTTTGACATCATATTATGGAGCAATGAATTTTATAACAAATGCGAGGGCTATGCTGCAAGAAGGGTACGACAAAGTGAGCTAGAACTAGAGAGTTGAATTGGATCTGAACACGAATGAAAGCTGATTACAAATTAGTTCAAGTCTCGTACATTCAAAGTCCCACAGATGAGGCGATGGCTCGTCATCGTTAACACTCCGGAACTTATTGATGAGGTGAGCAGAGCTCCCGAAGACAGACTGTCATTTGTGGAAGGAACCAGAGAAGTAAGCAGTTTATGGAGCCCCATTTCCCTTATTTGTACTGACAACTTTTACTGTCGTTTTCATAAATATTAGGGGTGGTCAGACCTTGTGATTCAAGACGCGATTTACTTCACGATTCTGGAGGGTGAATCGTGAAGTGAATCCTGCTTGCAGGTCTGACCAGCACGGATTCACATGCAGGATTCACACTATATATTGACCCTTGATCTCAAAATTAATGTACCTTATTCTGAAATAAACTTTTTTTCTCCCTTGCATATACTTGCATTATACTCTTGAGTGTCTGAAACTCTTTGAAGGGGTTCCTCCACCAATCAGAGTCAAGCAGTAGGTACCTTAAGAGCTTTGTAGGTGGAAGAACACTTATTTTTTTCTTTGTTGAGCACACAGGATGGCAGGCAAATCATATACTATATTGGGAATTTAGTGATTTTAACTACAGGTTCTTTATTTGATGTAGTGTACTAAAAAGGAAAGGAAGAACAGTAAAAAAAAGCACAGGTGAATTGTAGACAGTGTTGGGGAGGTGAAGCAGCTCCAGAGGTGCTTCACCTGTTGACACAATTCACCCCAAATTGCAGGGGTTTCAGGGTCTGCAATTCACCTCAACACAAAGTGAATTGTGTCAGTGAATCACAGGGTGAATTGCAAGGTCTGACCACCCCTATTGTCACACATCACATCAGGCATTTCACAATTTCTTGCCTTAAGAAATAACTTACATAATGATAAACATTATTTGTAATTTAGTTTACCATTTTTGGTTGGCAGAAACTCTGAACAGAATTTAAAATTTTCATTATACAAAAACTATAAATTATTTTTGACATATCTTTATTTGTGAAATCTTGAAATAAATGAGAATAATTATTTAAAACATAATTTGAAGTTTCTTTTAAAACAAAATTATAAATTTTCTTTCAAATTTTAAGACAAAAAAGATTTAGAATTTTATTTATAATATTAAATCTTATAAAATATTAAAAGAAATTTAAAATTATACTTAGAGAAGAAATACTAAAAAAAATTTAAAATTATTTCAAAGTGGGTAGTCAGTAGGCAGTCAGTAGGTAGTCAGTGAGTAATCAGTGGGCAATCAGCAGGCAAGCAATAGGCAAGCAATAGGCAATCAATGGGCAACTACCAAATAAAGACATTTTTGCTTTATTTGGTAGTTGCCTGTTGATTGCCTGTTGCTTGCCCATTACTTGCCCATTGCTTGCCTGCTGATCACCCACTGCTTGCCTACTAATCACCTACTGATTGCCTACTGATTGCCCACTCTAAAATAA